TATATATTATTAAGTATATATTATAAAGAAACTTAATAATAAAGTTATAAATAGAAAAGTTATAATATAGCTACTTAAAGTAATTATAAGAGAACTAATAATTAATAAGGTAGAGAGAGTAATAGTTATACTTAATTTAGTAGTTATAGAAAGCACTCTCTTAATAGATAGTTATATAGATAAATATACCTAAAAAGATATATATCTCTACTATAGTTATATATTAAAACTAATAAAGTATCTAAGTAGGGTTTTTTATTACTTTAGTAGGATTATAAGCATATTAATATATCTCTAACTTCTTATTAATCTAATATACCTACTACTTAGCTATCTACTTAAAAATAAACTTATACTATATCTATAGTAGTAAGAAGTCTAAAAGTAGATATATTTTATATTTAAAGTACTCTATAAGAAGTTTATAATATAGTATATTATTAGTATAATCTAAAAGCTTTTTATTACGCTAAATATTTAGCAAAAAGTAAGGCTTATAAAGGTTATACTATACTATATTATTATTATATAGAATAGCTAGCTAGAAGTTTAGTAGTAGATTTTACTTACTTAGAGGTAGAAGTAGTAGCTAGTATACCTATAGTAGCATTAATATACTTACCTTAATCTTATTAAAGTCTCTTATAGTAAGTAGCTAGTAAGAGTTATTAATAACGCTAAGGCTAATCAGTATATAGCACTATATAGAGGTGTTAAAATCCTTAAAATTATTAATAATATTAAAGTTACTATTATAATTATTAAATAACTTAATAATATTATTATTATAAATATTATCTATTTTTTAAGGATTTTTTAGGGTTAATTTAATATAGAGTAAGTAGGAGTATTATAGTAGTATTATAAGTAAATAAGTAGGGGACTTAGGTTAAAGAATAAAGTTAACTTATAGCTATTAAAAAAAGTAGATAAATATTAGCTAGTTTTAGTAAAAGTATAGGTACTTAAAAAGTACTAATTTTACTACAAAACTTAAGTATATTAACTAGTGGCGTAGCTTGGCTAGTATGTTAATCCTTTTCTGGGCATGTAGCTGTGGGGGGCACCAAAAGGTCCATGTCTCAGGCCTCAAGGAGATGGGCTCTGGGCACAAACGTTTTTGATCGGGATATGCTGTTTTTCAGTGGCCCCGCCCCCCTCCCCCCCCCCCTGGTGGTTGCTGCCGCTGCGACTTACTGCTTCAGGTGCATTAGGAGCGGTTCGTGGTGTAAGGTATCCGTAACTACTACCTAGGTACGCAGTAGCTGGCTCGTAAGAGTTGGACGGATGGTGTGCTCTAGGGAGGTCTGCATGTAGTGCTTTGTCATGACGCTGGCCGCAACCAAGTCAGGTACCAACACAGAAGCGGGCGTGGGTGGTATGAGATTTGCTGGGGATCGAGATATCGGCAAACCAGGGACTGAGGTGCAATCTCATCTCATAATCCGATAAACAAGGACGGAGCGGTGAAGGCCAAAGCCGTGTTCTGGACTGGCTGGCCTGTGACGGTTGTGGTTGCACTTGTGGCAGGGCAAGGCCTCGACTCTCCGTCACTGATGAATATCAAATCAGTCAACAAAGAGAGAGGCAAAGAAGAAGCCAGGAACCGAAACAGGAACAGGTGCCGCGATATGGCAAAGAAGGGCGGATATGACGAGAAGCCGATTTGCAGCGGCTCCCTCCTTTGCCCAAGGGTTCCCCACCTGATTTGTCCTCGGGACTCTGGGGTAAGAACAAAGGGACGAGCGGCGAGGCACGGCGAGGATCCGTACTGGGTAGCACTATGGGCAGGTATCCGTACCTTAGGTAGGACTTCTTGACGTCCAAGGAGGAAAAATCTGCTATTGGGCGTGGCTGTGGCTGGGTTAGCACGTCACTTGGGATGCTAAGAACGCTAGGCACACTAGGGGTCTCAGCGTAGCATGATGCCGCAAACCCAAAGTCCACAGGGGACGTGACGGCGGCCAATGTCACTCATCTGATGGATGATAGACAGTGAACGGTGGTCTCGTTGCTGGATCGCTCGGGCGGGCGGGCGGGCGGGCGACTGACTGGTTCGGATTCATCTTGGATCAGGGCATTTGGTGCTTGGCGATGAAGGTGGGAATAAGGAACCGCTGCGCATTCGTCAGGGAAGCCAGCGCAGGCGAAGGAACGAATGGGTTTGGAGCAGCCTCTCTTTACCGCCTGCGGTGAAGAATTGCCGCTCTTGCCAGTCGCGTCCTGGTCCCCGTCCCCGTCCCCGTCCCAGACCCTGGCCCTGTCGTATTGTGTGGTTGTTGTCGTGTGTTGTGTGTCGTGCTTGCGCATGTCCATCAGAACCAGAATCAAAATCAGATCAGATGTTGTTGCTGGAGTCTTGGAGGGCAGATCCATTTGTTCCATGGCTTCCCGAGGAGTGAGTGGACAGCAGGCGTCCCCGAAATGCGAGGAGACAATGGAACTGCTGGGTCATGTACCAGGCGAGTTGCGAAGTACCTGCTGCATACCTACCCACCTTACCTTAGGTTGTAAGGAGTGAGAGGCGCACATCAGGCTCCCATCTCAGCCCAGGACAGGAGACAGGGCACCGCAAGCCAGGTTGGTTGCCGACTTCCTCCTGCCCGCTGGCAGCTCCACCGTACCCACTGGACGAACATCCATTGACACCCAAATTAGCACCTGTCGTCACGGTGAGTGGCCGTTGAGCCGGGTTACCCCCTGGCGGTGGCCAGGAACACCACAATAACACGACACTGAAAGAGAGGCAACTCGCGGGAGGCTCCTCTTCTGGGACCAGAAGCTCCTTGGTGGTTCCTGGACAGTACCTTGGATAACTCTTGTGCGAGCGAGAGATTCCCCTCGGCAGGTACCTGCTGGCAGCTGCAATGAGTACTTGTTGCAATGGCACCATCTGATCGACCATCTGTGTGACGACGACGCGGCCGTTCCTGGATGTGCCTGGTAAAACACCTACACGCACTACCCAGACACCTTCTTTTTCCCCGAATCGACCTTGTCTTGGATAGGCAACGGAGCACGGGGGGAGCTGTGTGCCATGTGGGCTGTAACTGAATTACCCGGGAAGCGAACGAGTGAGATGGTGAGATGGGATGGCTCGACGGGATGAGATGAGATGAGACGAGATGAATAGGATAGATAATGATGATGATTGGGATGGACGTAAGGAGGGTGTGAGTGACTGTGAGGCACGGCCAACTGCACGTTCGCAACTGCCGCAGCGCAGCGCTCAGCCATGCGCCGGCGTCCAACGTCATCCTGCCATAGGTACTTTACCGTGCCATGTACATAGTATTAGGAGTGGGAGGGAGGCATTACCTTACTTGGGGCACTATGATCGGAGGTCAGGGAATAAGCCAGGACGTATCGAAAGAACAGTTGTTTCGCCCACCAGCAGAGAATCGAAACCGATTTTGAGATTGCAAGATTCTGTGAGTCCGGGATGCTCATGCTTGTCTCGAGTTGCGTCAACCTTCGTCACTGCAAGCCTGTTTGTGACTGAGGTGGTGGTTTGGTTTCCAAGGGGCTGAAACTGACGGGTGTTGATTCAGTGACGATTGTCTGAGCATGTCTTGCCTATTCGTAAGGTAGGTGCTCGTCTACCACAACCTCCGTGAGGCTTCTGTCTCTGCTGAGTTTCTTCTACCGAAAACTCGCCTACTGTACCTACTTAGTTAGGTATGCGTGGAATATGCACGAGCCGGCATCAAGACATCAATAGTTTCCGACTTCCGAAGCTGGGCGCCGCGTATTCGGGGCAAGGCATGTATTCGTGTCGTGGCCAGTTGATTCCGTAGCAATTTGTCACTTGTTGATGTCCGTATTCCCAATATTTACTCAGTTTCTTTCTTGGTGCCTCTGCATTTCTTCCGCCCCCCTGCTCTCGCCTTGCAGATACGCTAAAGAGCCGAGCAAACTCGCACGAAAAAAAGAGGAACCCCCGGGAATCCCACCCACTGCGACTGTCCAGGTCCCGGCGTCTCTGGAGCCTCCGCTGGCTGTAGGACCGAAGTTGTATCGGTAGCGCACGAAATACAGGGAAACGAGGCCTGAAGAAAGTGCCTCCCGCGGCAAGAGAAAGGCCTTCAGGGCTGTCTTCAGAGCGATTCCCGCTCCAGATACGACGCTAGTACTTTCTGGGTACATGTCGGGGGGGTGCACTGGGTGGGGGTGGGGGGCTTGGACGTATCCACCTGGTAGCTTCTCGCAGCAAGCAACAGTCGACACGGGCCATCTCTTGCACCTCCACCCCAATTCAATTCGGGTCTTTCTGGATCCCGTACCAGCATCCAGCCCACATGGTGCATCGCCCACCGCCGAATACCTCCCTCACCCCAGCCCAGCCCAGCCAGCTTTCCGCTCTTTGCGAGGCCACGGCCGTGTGGTCGTGGTCGTGGTCGTGGTCGTGGCCGTTTCTTGCTGCTGGGCCCGCCGACGCTGGTGCTGGTGCTGGTGCTGGTGCCGGTGCTTGGGCTTGGGCTTGCTCGACCCATCCATCATCCATCGCCGACTCAAGACGTGGACTCAGCCTTACTTCGCTTTATGAACCCTGCATAACTTTTGCGCCAGCATCCTCGACCCCTTTCCTTTCTTCCCTCCACCTCAGTGTCCATCTACGAGTACAACCCACCCCGTCCCGTCCAGTCTACTACATATACCGGCCCGACCTCCCTCCTCGATCTGGTCTACTGCCTTTGGTCTTCTTGCTTCATCAATCCGACGTTGCCTGACACTCCCCAGCATCCGAGACGAGTCTGCCCTAATACATCCGAAGATACGCTTTATACGAATATGAGCAGCGCCCCCAACTGCTCAGGACAGAGGACAGGAAGAGTTGGCTTTTACGACACCCACTGCACCCGACTGCTACGATCTACGAATAGATAATCTACAACCGAGCCGAGCAGTCGACAATTTAGCCTCGTTGTGCTACACCGCGTCGCATACACCAGACACCGGCGACTAGAGCAGAGACAGAAGATACACACAAAACCGTCACAATGGGCAACATGGCGAGACAGCTCCAGAACCCCGACTACTCGGACGATGAGTACGGAGCCGAGGAGGCCTACTTCACCTACCGACCCCTCTCCAACCTTCCCACTCCGCCGCCTTCTTCAAGAAACACCTCAGCACACCAGAGCCCAAAGACAGGCCTGGAAGATGGCGAGGTCCTGCAAGAGAAGTTCCTGGGTATGTATTACGTGACACTCTTCCCCCCTCTACGTTGACCTCCGCCGCGCAACACTTGCTCGAGAGAGCGAATGTGCTCCAATCCTACACTACTTTACGTATATGCAATGCAATGCTAACCACCCACCCACCTGCAGGCCCCGCCATCCATCTTGTCAATCTTGTTCCCACGTCAGCTTCTCTCACGACGCCCTCCGTTCCTCTCGTCCAGGCCATGCTCAGCCGGGCCGGTCTCCCGCTTGAGACCATTGCCTTGGCAGTCTGCATTCTCGACTCTCTGAACTCCAAATTCGCTTTGAGCTGGCGTCTTCAGTGCCCCCTGCTCGTTGATGGCGCCTCCTCGCACAACAAGCGCCACACCCTCCACAGCCCCCTCCTCGATCGTCGCCAGCAGCAGCAAATGCACATCGACTCGGTTCAGCCCGAGCTGATCATCCTCGCTGCTCTCGTGATCGCTGCCAAATTTACCGACGACTGCCAGGACTCGACCTCATACTACTGCTCGAAATGGGGCAAGGATATCTGGTCGTGCGAGCAGATCAACGTAACCGAGCGTTGCATCTATGAGAATCTCAACTATCGCATCAAGCCCTTGGTTGACGACGAAGATTTGATTACGGATACCATGGTCGACATGCAGATGGCCGCTCGCCACTACAACTCTGCTCGCCCTGCCCAGCCTCACGAGATGGGTCACAGCAAAAGCAAGAGCATGACCATTGGAACTACAGTCGTCGGTTTGGGTCTGCAGCTGACTCCTGTGGATACTCCCAAGTCCGAGATTGAATCCTTTGGCGACGAAGTACGCGCGGCTTTGGAGAAGACGGCCTTCGGCGGCGACTACATGTCGCTTCCCTTTTCTGAAAATGAAAAGGGACTCTCCCCCGTCGGAGAAGAGCTTGATGTATGAACGATTTGAAGTAAGCGAGCGAGCATTCTGCTGTTTGTGTGTATAACGTCTGGCATACGGTTTTCACGGTACATCTCTGCATGAGCCCCCCCTTGGCGATTTGGGAAAGCTCTTTTTCAACGGTTTCGACTTTCTCTTGTCTTTTTTTTCTTTTTTGGGATACCAACCTCGGCTTTCACACAAGGCTTGATGGAATTGCATCTTGTAATTTTGGGCGATTTGGTGGCCGGCGCATGGGGGCAAACAAAGGGATCTGCTGTGTTCTCCCACACTGGATTGGGGACTGTCGGGCATTACTGGAAATCTTATTTTTTACATACCCTATTTGGTAATGTAGTCCTGCAAAGACAACATCGTTGAACTTCATCTATTGTTGAAACACGTGCAATCTTCTCTAGTCATCTGTCTATCCCTGAAAGGATCTAAGCCACCTATGCCATGCCAAAGATCCATGAGAGACAGAGCGCCCCCACTCAGGGACTAAGCCTGTTGACCGTCCACTTATCGTCCTCACCCTCCTCCTTGTCGTACACGAACCGATCATGAAGCCGGTTCTCCCGGCCCTGCCAGAACTCAATCCGATCCGGCACGATCCTCAAACCACCCCAGAACTCGGGTACCGGGATCTTCTCCTGCCCATCGAACCGCTTCTCAACCTCTTTAACCCAGCCTTCCAGCTGCGCGCGCCCGTCGTCTTCGCCCTCTGTGTCGCTGACGACGCCCGGCTTGGGCTCGAGGACCTGGCTCTGCCTGCTCGCCCACGCGCCGATCCTGCTCCCGCGGACGCGCGTGTCGTAGTACACCTGGCTCTCCTCCGGGCTCAGACGCCCGGCAACGCCCTCGACGCGGACCTGCCGCTGGAGCGCCTCCCACCAGAAGACCAGCGAGGCGTGCTTGTTGGTCGCCAGGTCGGCGGCCTTGCGCGAGGTGCCGAGGTTGGTGTACACGACGAAGCCGCCCTTGCCGTCGAGCTCCTTGAGGTAGACCATGCGCGCCGAGACGCGGCCGGATGGCAGGGACGCCGTGGAGAGCGTGCACGTCTCCGGGTGCGAGACGGCGTGGGACTCTTGCGCGGCCTTGAACCAGGCGTTGAACTGCGGGATGGGCGACCCCGAGGGGTCCAGGTCGCGCCGGTGGAGGGCCGAGAGGGTGAACTGGTCGGCGCGGGTGTTTTGCTGAGACCCGGCGGGCGCGACTTTTTCTCTCTCTGTTAGTTCCATTTTGTGTGCCGGGCCAAGGAGGAGGTGAGGTGTTGAGATCTGGCTGCATTGTGTGACTGTGACGTGATGACACCCATGACCCAGACGTCCTCCCGATGACGGCTTTTCGTCGACACAGCTTACCTACCACATCTCACTCACCACACCTCATCTACACATAGGAGCAGCGTAACTTACAGATGAGCTTCTCGCTCTCTGGCGGGGGGTGAAGAGCCATCCTGAGCGATCTTGAAAGTCTCGCCGCTAAGCTTGGCCGCATAAGAGTACCTAACAATTCAAACTATGCTTGTAACAATCTTCTCGTATTATAAGGACGCCAGAGGTAGAAGTGACCAGATTCTGCAGGCTGATTCAGGCGTTGTGTTATCGGCGTGATGTTCTGCAAGAAGGAAGACAATTCGTGCAGCAATCGTGGTGGTGAGTCGTTCTTATGACATGACACCACAAGCTCTTTCTCATGATGCTTGCATTTTTTGGAGAAAGAGGGAGGGGCAAGCTTGACAGAGCGGGAACCCCACCCCACATTCCAAGGAACGTAGAATGTTCCACCGACGCGCATTTCGAGCACCACTGCGGTGCAGTGCGGTGGTCAGCCATCAGTGTCTCTCCATGGCCTGTAGAAACCCATTTCAGTGGGGTTTTGAGTTCGGAGCAGGGACCAGCCCAGACTCGACCGGGCCGCGGTACTTGCTTGGATGACTGCAGAAAAACACACAATACACGCAAAACACATACACGCAACACACAGGGCACACAGCGAAAAAACCAAACAAACGTATCTCATTCCGTACATACGACGGGGGGTATCATATCGTAAAACGCCGTAAACGCATTCAGATACGCAAAACGTATACGTACGTAACAAACGCACGCAACGCAGTACGCACTGCCCGAATAAACCTAATAAAACCATACCCTTCGTACACATGGCGCGAGCCATGATGTCTTATCGCGTTTACGCCCATTGGTTTAAAGTAGTTGCTTCTACTTTGCTCTATGTATATCATAAAAAGAAACCCCAATAACACCGAATCAAACCCAAATCTTGAACATTGAAAACTTTTCATGTCTTTTTTGTCTTCCGGTTCCGACATAAAGGGAAGGAAAGAAAACCAAATCTATGGTGCCATAACCAACGCAAGCAGTGCCATGCGGCAGTACAGACCATATCTCATCTGCGAATGTATTAGTGTGCGTCCCAAAAGACGGGGGTAGGGGAGACATACCTGTCTGAAGTAAGCCGCCCTCTGGTCGGTGTCCACCTCAGGCGCAATCTCCTCGTTCCTGGGCAGAGGGTGCAGAATGCACATATCCTTCTTGGCCGACTTGAGGGTGCGGTTGTCGATGCGGTACGAGTTCTTGACCTTCTCGTACTCCTCAACCGTCGGGAAACGCTCCTTTTGGACACGAGTGCAGTAGAGCACATCGCTGCGGCCCAGGATCTCAGGGGTGAGCTCCTCGGACTCGCACAGAAGCTGTCCGGAAGCAATGAGATACTCGCGGACCTCGGCGGGCAGAGCCAGGCCCTTGGGAGAGACAAGCTGAACCTGCACACCGTAGTCGCGGAGGAGGTAGATGAGGGAGTGAACAGGGCGGCCGTAGAGAAGATCACCCACGAAGGTAATGGTCAGGCCCTGAACAGTACCAAGCTCCTCACGGATGGTGAAGAGGTCCAAGAAAGCCTGGGTGGGGTGCTCCTTGCTTCCGTTGCCGCCGTTGATGACGGGAACAGGAGCATATCGGCGGGCAATGTCGACGCTCGACTCCTCGGGGTGTCGGAGGACAACGGCATCACCGTAGCAGCCAAGAGTGCGGAGGGTGTCCTGGAGGGTCTCACCCTTCTGAACGGAGGAGTGGGAAGTGGAGATGACAACGGTGCGGCCGCCAAGTCTCTGCATCGCAGCATCGAAAGAGGCCGAGGTGCGAGTGGAGGGCTCGTAGAACAAGGTGCAGAGAACGCGTCCACGAAGGATGTTCAAGACACCCTCACGCTGGACACCGAGACGCATCTGCTGGGCCACAGTGAAGAGGTGGTGGAGGTCAGCACGAGTGTACTGGGTAACAGACAAGACGCTGTGCTGCTTCCAAGATGAGGGCTGCGACAAAAGGTCGTGGAGCTTGGAGCCGATCGCGGGGTGGAGGGGCGGCAGGCTAAGCTCGTCAAAGGTGCCGAAGGTCTTGTTGGGAAGAGGGCCATCCGCGGAACGGAGCTTGGACGGTCTGGTGGAGTTGAACATGGAAGGGCGGCGGTCACGGGGGCTCTCGGGGTGAGTCATGGACTGCAACTGAGGCTTGATCGTGGGCGACATGGGAAGAGCGCCGTGAGTCGACATATCCTTGCCGAGAGAAGGCAGAGGCAGCAGCTCTCCATCCAAGCAGACAGTCTTGTCCTGGAAGGTCACGCGCTGAACGGATCCGCGCATAGTGCGACCCTCGAAGGGTGACCACCCAGAGGTGGACTGAACACCATAGGGGCGGTCAATCTCAACCTCGACGGTGGTGCCGACCTGTTCATGGAGCTCAAAGATCTCCTTGGGGTTGTCGTACAGGCGAGCCTTGATGTCGTCAATCGTGAGCTTGCCCTCAGTCACGGAGGTGAGCAGGAGAGGTAGAGCGTCGGCGATGCCAACGGCAGGGTCGGCAGTCTTGCCCAGGGAGCTGGCGAGCTGGTATGGCAAGCTTCCGATGGAGAAGACATCAATGGTGCTCAGGTGCTCCCAGAGGGCGTTCTGGTCAGCCTCAGTGGGAAGGAGAGCGCAATCAGGGAAGTCGTTCTGCGAGAGGTACAGAGAGAAAATGGAGACATCGCAGGTCACCTTCAGGCCCTTGGCCTTGCTGAGGGCAATCAGCCTGATGTCGTCCTTGGTGGACACAGATGTGACGTGGATTCTGCGGTTGTGCAGGCTTGCCAGGAGCAGGATAGAAGCAAGGTCGGTCAGCTTCGCGTCAGTGACGATGGGCTTGTGAGTGGGCCACTTGTCGAAGTGAGAAGTCACGGCGGCGACCTTGCTGATGTTACCAGACAGGTGATTGAAGGGGATGAAGAGCGAACCGACTTCACCAGTGACGTGGCTGATCTGATCAGCATTGTCAGAGGTGGCAGAAACGGAGAAGTTGAAGTCGCAGAAGCCACCGTTCTTAGCGCTCTGCTGAGCAATCTTCAAGGTGAGAGCATCCGTGATGGAAGCCTTGACACCAACAGGCATAATGCGGATCATGCTGAAACCAGCGGAGACAGAGGCCTTTGTAACAGCCAGAAGGTCCTTGCTGGCCTGAGTGGCAATGCCGGGCACGAATGCTGCAACATTAATCAACCCAGGCAGAGTGATGGTGCGATGGCTCGTCTGGAAGTCACGGGTGGCGACTCCCAGCTCGAAGTGGCGGGCGATAGCCTCAACGAGAATCTTGGCGTTCTTGACGTTCGTAACCAGAGGGATCTGGTAGTCAACAGCCATGCGACGGGTCTGGTAACCCTTGGACATGTAGTTGGCGGGGCGGCGGTATTTGTTGTTGGAAGGCAAGTTGATGTACAGATCAATCATGTTCTTGGCCAAGTGCTGAGTGAGTGAGAACTCAGAACGCTGGTCTTCTTGCTCGTTGGCGAGGACTTCTAGGTATTGCACAGGGATTTTGTGCTCCTGGAGGAAGTCGGCGGTACCGGCGGTGGCAAACAGCTTGTAGCCGAGGCGGGCAAGCTTCTCGACCGACGGCAGCATCTCCTTCTTGTCCTTGAAGGAACCCATGGACAAGAGGATGTTGGCCTTGGGGATCTTGAATCCAGTCGAAATGAGAGCCTTGAGGTACGCCTCGTACTTGTCGACACCGAAGCAAGCAACCTCACCAGTGGAGGCCATCTCAACACCCAAAACGGGGTCGGCACCAGAAAGACGAGAGAAACTGAACTGGGGCACCTTGCAAGCCACGCAGTCGGCGGAGATGGTGGTGGGTGGGTACTCAACAAAGGGTCTACCCATCATCGCCTTGGTAGCCATCTCAATCAAGTCAACACCCATGACCTTGGAGACGAAGGGGAAGGATCGAGAGGCACGGACGTTGCACTCAATGACCTTGATGTCGTTGTCCTTGGCGATGAACTGAATGTTGAAAGGACCAGTGACGTTGAGGGCAGCGCCAATCTTGCGCGTGGCCTCCTCGATTCTGGCAATGGTCTCTGGCTCCAAGTCCTGGGGAGGTAGAATGAGAGTAGCATCACCAGAGTGAACACCAGCATTCTCAACGTGCTCTGAAATGAAGTGTCCCACGACAACACCATCCTTGGCAACAGCGTCCATCTCGATCTCCTTGGCGTTCTCAATGTACTTGGTAATAACCACGGGATGCTCGCGAGAAACCTCAGCAGCCTGGGCAAGGTAGTTCTCGAGATCCTGCTCAGAGTAGACGGTGTTCATCGCAGCACCCGAAAGAACGTAAGAAGGTCGCACCAAGACAGGGTAGGAGACCTTCTGACAGAACTTCTTTGCCTCCTCGAAGCTGGTGAGCTCCTTCCACGTGGGCTGATCGACGCCAATGGTATCCAGCATACGAGAAAACTTGTAACGGTTTTCGGCATTGTCAATCATCTCCGGAGAGGTTCCGAGAACCTTGACACCCGCACGGTGCAGTGGAAGTGCAATCATCTGCGGCGCTTGGCCGCCCATGGCGCCGAGAATACCCTCACACGCCTCAAGTTCGTTGATATCGAGGACAGTTTCGAGGTCCAGGTTTTCGAAATAGAGACGATCGCTTTCTGAATGATCGCTGGAAACGGTCTCCGGGTTCATCTGGCTCTTTTATTAGCATATTCTCAATTCATTATTGATGTTGTGGTGTTGTAGTGTTGTCGTGATGTTGCGACGGAGCTGGTGAGATGGTAAGGTGGGGTGGGGTGAGTAGTCCCGGAGAGTTTGGCGGGGGGGAATCAAGAGAAAGCACGAGAAGAAGAATGGAAGGACAGTGGCAACCCAAAAAAATGTCTAGAACCCAACGGGAGACAGAAAATATAGGATGCCAGAAAGTGTACATGATGACAGAACACGAAGACGACAGAGAGCGCCGACAGAGAGCGCCGACAGAGACAGAGAGCGCCGACAAAGACAGAGAGTGCCGACAGAGACGGAGACAGAGAGCGCCGACAGAGACGGAGACAGAGAGCGCCGACAGAGACGGAGACAGATAGCGCCGACAGAGACAGAGAGAGCGCCGATAGAGACAGAAAGAGCGCCGATAGAGACAGAGACAAAGAGCGCAGATAATGGAGAAGGGCAAGGGATGATAGGAGTGTCGCCGAGATGGCAAAACTGCAAGTGTGATGTGTGACGGAGAGAGGGAAGATTGAGACTCACATTAACCATAATGGTCTTGTAATTCTGCTCTCTCAAAGTTCGAATCGCGCGAACAGAACACCAGTCGAACTCGACAGAAGAACCGATGCGGTAAACACCAGATCCCAGGACCATGATACCATGATCGTCAAAGGTGACGTCGCTCTCGGAAGCGTTGTAGGTCAGGTACAGGTAGTTGGTGTAGGCAGGGAACTCGGCAGCAACCGTGTCGATCTGCTTAACAAAAGGCATGATGTTGGCCTCCTGTCTAAGAGTGCGGACGGCGATTTCGTTAGAGCTCCAGAATTTGGCGAGTTGACGATCAGAGAATCCAAGTCTCTTGGCCTGGAGAAGGATGTCGGGGCATTTGGAGATATCGCTGGTGGTGTAGTTGGTCATCGACTTTGAGAAGTCGCTTAGGCCCTTGAGCTTGTGCAAGAACCACTTGTCAATCTTGGTAAGCTCCCAAATCTTGTCGACCGAGTAGCCAGTGTGCATGGCGTTGGCGATGGCGAACAAACGCTGGTCCGACGGTGTCTGCAGTTCGTCGTCGATCGACATCAAGGCCTTGGTCTCGCCGAAACCAAGGTTGTTATAGTCGATGGCACGAATGGCCTTCTGAATGGCTTCCTCAAAGTTTCGGCCGATACTCATGACTTCACCGACACTCTTCATGGAAGATCCCAGCTGGGTAGACACGCGGGTGAACTTCTTCAAGTCCCAACGGGGCATCTTGACCACGACGTAATCAAGGGAAGGCTCGAAGCAAGCGCAGGTCGACTTGGTGACACTGTTGGAAATGTCCTTGAGAGGAATGCCGAGGCCAAGCTTAGCAGCAATGAAGGCCAAGGGGTAACCAGTTGCCTTGGACGCCAGTGCAGAAGATCTGGACAATCTGGCGTTGACCTCGATAATGCAGTACTCCTTCGAAAAGGGGTTCAGAGCATACTGGATGTTGCACTCTCCGACAACGCCGAGGTGACGAATAACGTTGACGGCCGTAGTACGTAACATATTGTAGTCCTCGTCGGAAAGCGTCTGAGAAGGCGCGACAACAATAGAGTCACCAGTGTGGATACCCAGAGGATCAAAGTTCTCCATGTTGCACACGGTGATGCAGTTGTCCTGGGCGTCACGGACGACCTCGTACTCGATTTCTTTCCAGCCCTTCATACTGCGTTCAATGAGAACTTGGGGACTGGCGGCGAAAGCCTTGTTGCAAAGATCGAGAAGCTCTGCCTCGTTGTTGGCGAAACCACTGCCAAGGCCGCCCAGGGCGTAAGCAGCTCTGACAATGACGGGGAAACCAATATCCTTGACACAAGCCATGGCCTCGTCAACGGTGCTGGCAGAGGCGGACTTGGCGCACTTCTCGCCAATCGAGTCCATGCTGCGAGCGAAGAGCTCACGGTCCTCGGTAGTAATGATAGTGTCGATGGGAGTACCCAGGACCTTGACTCCGAGCTCTTCGAACTCGTCCTTCAGTTGAATACCAACCTGGAGGGCAGTCTGTCCACCGAAGGTAACGTAGATGGCATCGGGTCTCTCGTACTGAATGACTTTTCGGACGAAGTCCGCGTTGACCGGCAAGAAGTAGACCTTGTCCGCCAGACCCTTCGACGTCTGAATGGTGGCAATATTGGGGTTGATGAGGACGGTGTAGATGCCCTCCTCCTTGAGAGCCTTGATGGCTTGGGAACCGGAGTAGTCGAACTCTCCGGCCTGGCCGATACTGAGACCACCACTGCCGAGGACGAGGACCTTGCGAGGGTGGACACGAGGGTGCAGGCGCTCGTTCTCCTCGATGGTGCCGCCGGGGAAGCTGACAGGGGCGCTCAGCTTCTTGGGGTTGGCAGCACAGTCCTCAATGGTGCCAATGAAGACATCGAACAGGTACTCAGTGTCGCGGGGACCGGGCGTGCTCTCAGGGTGGAACTGGACACTGAAGTAGGGCTTGGAGAGATGGGCGATACCCTCGTTGCTACCGTCGTTGGCGTTGACGAAAAGTTCCCTCCAGTCGGCGGTGAGAGAACTGGAGTCGACGGCGAAACCGTGGTTCTGAGAAGTGATGTGGCACTTTCCAGTGATCATGCTCGTGCAGGGAATATTGTGGCCTCTGTTTCCGAACTTCATCTTGGCGGTCTTGGCGCCGGAGGCGCGGGCAAGCAGCTGGTGACCCAAGCAGATACCAAAGACAGGAGTCTTGGTCTTCTCCATGGCAGCCTGGATGTTCTTGACAGTAACGTCGAGCATGGCCGGGTCACCAGGACCGTTGGACAGGAAAAGACCGTCGTACTCTTCTCCAGCTTGTTTTACGAGATCGTGGTCCCAGGGGCAGACCAGGACTTCGACGCCACGCTTGAGGAAGCACCTCAGCTGGTTGTACTTCATACCGACATCCAGGCAAAGAACACGGATGGGTCTGCCGGACGGGTGCTTCTTGGCGGTGACGCTCGAGGGGGGCTTATACAGCTTAGGGGCCTTGATGGAGACTAAGACGAGTGAGCTTGTGCAAAATCCAGGTATCGTCGGGGGACTCACCCTCGGCTACGAGGTTCTTCTCGTTGGGGTTGACCCAGTCCACTGTCTGGAAGTCGTCGACGGAGAAGGAAGCAACGCCATTGACGTGGCCATTGGTGGTGCCGTTCGCAATGGTCTTCTTCTGGAGCAGCAATCGGCCCAGCGTGCTGCCCTGACTTCTCAAGCGCTTGGTGAGGGCTCTGGTATCAACGCCATAGATGGCGGGAACGCCCTGCTCCTTGAGCCATGTGCCAAGGGAGGACTCGGCCAAGAAGTGGGAGTAGTCCTCGCCGGCGTAGGAGGAGGCGACGAGACCGGCGATGTGGATCTGGGAGGACTCGAAGTGGGCAGGCAGGTCGCCCAAGAGCTCGTCAATGGTCTCCCGCGAGGGAACGCCATAGTTGCCAACCAAGGGGAAGGTGATGACCAGAATCTGGCCGCGGTATGAGGGGTCTGTCACCGACTCCGGATACCCCACCATACCAGTCTGGAAGACGAGCTCTCCGGCAATGCTCTTCTGAGCACCAAAGCTAAAACCCTGGTAGACGGTGCCGTCGCGAAGCTCGAGAGCCATGAGGCCCTCATCGTCAGAGCCAACCTGGCGGGCCGAAGCCGGGGGGTAGATGGCGGCCATCTTTTTTTTCTTGTGATCGGGAGCCTTCGTGTGATGCGGGGCAATGACAACGACAGGGAACGAAACTCTCGATAGGGCTGGCTTTACAGCAAAAGAGGTGCCTAAAGAAAGTGGCAGCGAGCTCGTGGTCAGAGTCTCGGAGGATGGTTCAGTAGCTTCCCAGCGATCATCTGCCACGATAGATCTTCGGGAAGTCGCGTGAGGTTCTAGACAACCATGTTAGAAGGAGGAGAAGAGAGAAGGAGGAGGAAAAATTCGAAAAAGAGGGAGCAACAAAAGTTTTTTTTTTTTTACATAGCCAAAAAATTCGTCTGGTCCCCTCCCTGCTCATCGCCCGGGATGTACATTGTGGGATGTGTGTGAGCATTAGCCCGGATTGTCCAATGAGCAAGCACCATCCTTGGGCGGCGGGACTGCGAGCTGTGCACTGACACAGATCCGACTGCAGAATACGGCATTTGACAGCGGGCGGTCAGTGGAAAAAGGCCTAGCGCCATCGTCCTAGTGGGCAGAAAAGATTGATGTTGCCGCTTCTAGCCACAGGCGGGCCGCGGGGAAAAGCCCAGCGGTCGAGCACTGCACGCCAACAAGCCAAACCCGCCGAGCACCTCAGCCATTCTACGGTGCAGAATTTTGTGTAATCTTGTTGTCGTCCTTGAAGAATTTTCTTTTCCTTCTCGTCTGTCCACTAGTGCGTCCTGAAGCTTTCAAGACAACTAGATGCGGTGGCAGAGTGGATCGCGGTGCATCGTCCCGATGACCGAGTCGAGTCACGATCTACCATCTGCACCAGACTATCTGTTAATGGACGCTGGCAGCTGATTTTGCCGTCGCGTCTGGGAATTATTCCTGTGGACGGGCCTAGGGTTTGGTGACAAGCTCACGACTCGTATGCGCAGTTTTGTTTGGGAGTTCAATGGGAGTGCTGTTGGTGATCCAGACATTCCCATTTCGTGGCTGGCGACGAAAGAAAGGCTGGGGTTCACAGGCGGCACACATGATGGAGGGGTACGAGGGGTCTGACCATGGCTCACCGACCAAGGTGACGGCACAGCTCACCTCATACCGCCGATGCCGGTGCTGAGGTTTTGAGTGGAGCATCCCCAGCCAAGAGAGATCCGGGAACACTGTGACGACTGGAATGCTGTGTTTGTCCATTGCGCTCCGGCTCATTGGCTCTGCGCATTCTTGTCTCTATTTTGAGTTTCGCTTCAGTCTTTTCTCCTTGCACTTACTTACACCAATAATTCAAATCACTGCCTTCTTCGTTGCGATCCAGCTGTTGCTGTGCATTCGGCCGGTAGCGAGTTTTCTTTCACATACGACCTCAGAGCTCGACTCGGCTGATGCGTGCAGGGCTGGACTGAGGCAGAGTCGCATTTCCATGTCGCTCTCGCCGTTCATATTTGTCGGAGTGGGACATCCCAGCATTAAATCTCACGCACGCGCCAAGCGACTGCTCTAGCAACGGGATTCTAGATGGTCTCGGCTGCGGTCCCGAGCCTTGAACGTGATAAGGAGGAATGCAGTGTGTCAGTGTGAGGAAAGTCAAGTGACGATGCTGACATTCCTCAATATGATATAGGCGGCAGCTGTCCCGAGATAGGTAAGGGTATCAACAGTGGGTAGACAGTAAGCACCTCTTTGGCAACCCAGCCACGAGCCCTGCGCGAAGATGCCAGGAATGGACTGGCTCGCTGGCTTGGAGGAAAACACCTGGGTAGAACATGGGAAGCTTGGCCGTGCTCCCACGCAATTGGCAGCATGTACCGCGGGAATTTGGGGAAATCTCCTGTTGCCCAGCATCGGGTTCGCACAACTGCAGTTGCAGGACTGCGATGCAAGTCTCTGTGCTGTTCTGTGCCTTGCTGTGCCTTGCTGTGCTGTGCTGTGTTGTGCTGGGCTGGTCTGGGCTGGATCTAGTGATGGAAACAACCCTGGAGGCGATCTGAATCGACAAAATCGCCGATGATCATGTGTTCCGATGTAACCTGGCATGACGGGCTTCTGCTGGTGCTTGCGTGCAGGCTTAGACACGTAGATAAATGAGAGGGTCTCGACATGGGACACCCAAGCTTGCGGAGTTGACGCTGGCGGATGCGAGGCGGAGGCTGGGGCGAGGGCAGCGTGAATCGTCGTGACGGACCCCGTTGGCTGTCCTCCCGTTGCCGCTGTCTGTCTGAGATGGCTCCCGAGGGCCGAGTCTCGTAGAGGTGGTGTTCAAGACGGGTATTCCAAGTCCAGGGCAAAGGCGGTGGATGATGGGATGAGAAACGGCAGGAGCATCGCGCAAAGCGATGGTGTAGGAGAAACCCGGGCAGCGCAGTTTAGTCCGGGTGTGACCCCCAAAAGCAGCGTCGCACCCCGGCGTGAACAGGTGCCATCTGTGCATCCGTGTGTGTGGGTGATGCCAATGGCGGTGACGGGCTTGACCAACGGGACGGCGGGATAGCTTGGGGTGTATCGAGGTGGGGTGGTATGGAAGCAACTCAAGCTTCACTAGGCCAAAGACTGCGACTCTGGGGCTCAAGGAATGAGGAGGCGAGTTGACCGGCTGGACTTGTTCGTCTCGCCTACAAATGGAAGAGAAGGATGAGTCGTGGTCTGGGTGAGGTGTGGTGGTGTAAGTTGAGTGTTTGGAGGCGTGGGGTAGGCATGCGGTGAGCGTCAATGGTCTCGTACATGTTCCATTGTAGTGATTCAGGGCCGGCAGAGCAGACATATCAGACACAGAATCGACCCATTGGACGGGGCCCAGGCCGACCCCGGCATCAAGTGACGACGTGCGGCCGCGCAGGTCCTGCAGAGTGCAGATGAGAAGCAGGAGAGGTTGATCTTAGCTGGAGCTGGAGCTGGAGCTGGAGCTGGAGCTGACCTTGTTCGTCCACGCAGACTGCAATCAAGGATGGAAAGTAGCCGTAGGAGGTCTCCGCAATGTAGGTGATCGTAGATGCAACAAAACATCATGGCAAGCATCGTCTTACTCCGCGGGTCCTTTCATTCAAGGTCTCAAGGAGCTCGGCGGTTGTCTCCAGCTCCTGTGTCTGTCTGCGACCCCTCCATGTCGGTCCTCCACTCTTTTTTGCGCGTGCTAAAAACCCTTGAGAAGTCATGCGGTTACATGTCTCGCCCGTTTTTTCGTCTGATGGCGCGGGTTGTTTTTTTGGAGGCATTTATCTCTCCAGACGAAGCAGGGCTGAAAAGACTTTCGTATTGCTCTGCTCTGCAGTTTAATGCCTCTGCCCTCCTTCGGCTCGGCTTCTTTTCGCTCCTGGTTTTATGGTTTCCCGCCCGCTGCCTGCTTCCTTCATACGGGATGGTGATGATCTATGAATATCCATGTTTTGTTTGGCCTGGAGTCTGAGAGTCCCCAAGACAGTCAGTCTCCAATGGACGGATTCAAGGATTAGAGCGTCAGGTGGGCCTGTGGCTGAAGTGCAGCGCAAGAAAACATGGTATCCCAGAACCGTTATATTGGGGTCATTTCAATTTTCGTAGGCGAAGGGCCCCAGCGACGCCAGTGTCATCCCGTGGGTTTGGCCTTCCCACATTTGCGAGCACTTGCAGCTTTTGCAGCACTTGCAGCGTTGCACTCCACTTTTTAGAGGCCAACTCCCACCCCTCAGGGATCGTGCACTAGCGAGACCTGATTCATCAATTGCGAGAGGCCTGGGCACTCAGGTCACTCTGGACGCCATTACACTGTGCAGTGTCTGGTGTCTGGCGTGTACTTCACGCGCGACACTACGTGACACTCTTCTCCACTGTCCACCGCTGAGCGCGTCGCACTCCAGTCTCCTATCCTGCCTCCTCTCTGCCTTATTCTTAGTTTACGGCTTCTCGTCTCTCGCTGGCTGCAAGACTTAGTTAGACTAGACGAATAATCTACAGTACTTTGCCTCGAGGTAGGAAGACGACCCTAGGCTATGACATGACTTGCCAGTGTAAGGTAGTGTGGTGTCACTGCCTGCTGCATGTTGGCGTGCGGCGGGTAAGGTGGGAGTGAGTTGGTGGTGTGTGTCTCCTTATCGCAGGCTATCCTGACCAATGCACGTCGTCACCGACTATTTTCATCATCAGCTCCAAGCCTTCGACGTTACCGAAAAAATCAACATCGGATCCAAACCAAGGCAAGGCCAGGCCAACAGCAGTTTGCATAGCACCCAGAGGTCGTAGGCCTGGGGCTACCTACCAAGCACTTGTGGCACTGCTCGTCTCTGCCGAACCTTACACCTTGCCTGCCTTCCACCTCCTGAAAGTTCCATGTCCCTACTGCCTGCACCGGAGGACTGCCTGATGCAGTATCTCTCGCCTTGCCTTTTATTCACCTAGCTCTTCCAAACTGCCATACTGCGTGTGTACTTGTCCAACTACCTTGCGCTAAAAATCGCATCGTCCTTTCTAAATCTCGATCCGCGCTCCAGGCGCGCATGTTGCTTGCCGTTGTCCTCTCCAAACTAGCACGCTGCACTCTTAGTGTGTCTCTTTTGTTCTTTGTGCTATCCGTACTTCTTCTCTTCCCTTGGCCCTCCAGTCCTCTCACTCGCCCACCTACATACATAATTGCCTTTCCCGTACTTTCGTCTGTTCTGTCGAGGAAGAAAAAAAAAGACTTTGACCGGCTTCCCCACAAAACATTGCATCGGTTTCTGCGTCTCGACCACGGGGATCCTGGGATCCTGGCCCGACCTGACCTTGCTGCAGTTGCAGTCGCAGTCGCAGTCGCCAATCCCAAGTCGCATACCTTGCCCACCGGGTTTGGAGTCTGGACTTTCTTATTTACTCCCGTGCTCGACCTGCCGTTTCCTTCCCCTACCTCCTTCTACCTTCTTTCGCGCCTCCTTCGGCCTGCCGGTGCTCTCGACGGCCTCTCGCATCCACGGCAACCCAAACTTGAGCCCCTTTCCCTCCGGTGCTCTCGAACCGCCTCCCACATCGCGTCTCCATACAGTCTTGCTTGGTCTCCGCCCCATGGCGCTGTGAGATGCAATAACACAAGGCGGCGGGCTGCATCTCTCACTCCGACTGGACAATGTTTTCCTCTCTGCTGCGACCCAAGCAGAGCAATCGCAGTCGTCGCATTGACCGACTTCACGATAGGCATTCGCCTTCCCCCGGACCAGCTTATCGCCACTATGGCGAATCACGACACGCGGTAGCAGACTTCACTGAGGCCGAGGATGAAGAAGAGGAGGAGGAAGAAGAGGAGGAAGACGATGGCTTAGCACAGTCTGGGGACGATCCCGACGCCGTGGATGACGAGGACCCTCCCCATCGTACCATGCCTGTCCTTCCTCTCTTCTCGGAGTCATATCTCGGTAAGCTAGAGCATCGTTTGGCTAGACCCCAAGTCTCCTTCAACTCGGACTAACAACAACTTCACAGACTCCCTGCCTATCTACAGCATCACCCACGCGATTCGCATCATCATTCAGACCCGAACCGAAACGACGTTGACATGGGATCAGATACGCTCGCCGCAGGTCTCTCAGTTCCTGGTCAAGCCTATGCAGCAACAAATCAGAACTCAGCAGTTCAACCGCGCGACTCTCTACTGCCTCATGGCAAATTGCTTACAGTTCAACAAGGAAGGCCAGTTATACCCGGGCAATGCTGGAACAAGTTACACTAGGGCATTGGTATGTGAGCTGTTGGCACTCAAGCTCCTCAAGGAGTACAACACTCGCGAACTTATCGACGCCCTCTCATATGACTTCTATCCTCTCCAAGGACTTCCCGGGGCTCAGCCCGCGAATGCACCGAAGAACGATCCGAAAAATAAGGCACGCCTTACTGCCGCACGAACTTCCACCCTAGAAGTCGCTATTCGTGCTTCCGCCAAGCACTTTCTCGCCCATCCCTTAGTCGTCCAACAATTAGAAGCCATCTGGAACGGTGCCATCAGCTTTTACTCGTCTCAAGACAGCTTACACCGCGAACCGCCACCCTCTCCGGTCCAGGGGTTGCCAGATGCGCGGACGCCGCTTTTGGGTGGGCAGAACCAGAAGGAAGGGCAGCAGAACCAATCTGTGCTAGGCAGACGGAGCGTTATTCTTTACGATCCTCGTCAGGCGTCTCTGTTCAAGCTTTCCCGCCTGCGGGTTCCCCGCTACAGATTCTTCCTTTCGACACTATCGCTACTTGTGCTCATCGGCTTATTTCTCGCTGTCCTTTCCCAGCGTTCAGCCCGCATCAGCTCGTTGGAGCTGATCTTTTGGTTTTGGAGTGCCGGGTTCATGCTGGATGAGCTTGTTGGGTTCAACGAGCAGGGTTTCTCACTTTACATCATGAGCTTCTGGAACGTCTTCGACCTGGGAATCCTGGTTCTGTTGATCGTCTACTATTTCATGCGTGTATACGGAGTGTTCCTCGTGGATCCCAAGCATTGGAATGATTCCGCGTACGATGTCCTCGCGGCGAATGCCATTCTGCTGCTGCCCCGTATCTTCAGTGTACTGGACCACTACCCATATTTTTCCCAGCTGCTCATTGCATTCCGTTTGATGGCAGTCGACCTTGCCGCTGTTGCGATTCTCATTCTCATCGCATGTAGCGGCTTTTTCGTCTTCTTCACCCTCGCAGATAGCAACAACGATGCGGCGGATATAGCCTTCAAGATCTTCCAGATATTGATGGGCTTCACTCCCGCCGCCTGGGACGTGTAAGTCACATGGCCACCACAGCCACCTGTGTCTTCGTTACTAATTTTGTGCAGTTGGCCCGTGTATAATTGGCTTGAGAGAGGGCTCATGGCTTTCTTCCTGATTCTCTGCCACTTCGTTGTCGTGTAAGCCCAGTCCCGTCCATTTTCTTCAGCTCCAGCTAACAAAAGCAGCACCATTCTGATTACCGTTTTGACCAACTCTTTTATGAAGATCGCTTCCAATGCCAGAGAAGAACATCAGTGGGTCCCTGCCATCTACATCGCCAAATCAATCTACTTACACAATCTAGATTTCTCTTCGCCATTAACACGATCTCCATGGTCAAGAACGATGCCTTGTTCTCCTACGTTGCGCCAGGAAACATATTCGCGTGGTTGCTCATGCCTCTGCGGTATTGCATGCCGCTGAAGCATTTTGTCCGGCTGAACAGGACCATCATCAAGGTCACGCATTTTCCTCTCCTCTTTTCAATTTATCTTTATGAGAAGTATTGGCTGGCGCCATCAATGTTCGAGCCAACGGATCTCGTCGAAAACCACCACCATGGGCGTGATAGAACCATTTCGTTCGCTGATCCCTCGGCTCGCTCTGCGTTATTCAGTCCCAACGTGCGGGTTCGCGAGGAATCTGTTACCGGCTACCAGAAAGACCACGCTTTGGAGGAAGTGTTTCGGCGTGGTCCTGGCATCACCACGTTGCGGAATCAAAGACGGCATGAACGAAGGAAAACGCAAAATGCCATCCGTAACTGGATGGATCAGGCCGATGATGCCGACGCTTCTCCCCAGGTCCCTCAGTGGCCGACGATGGAAGGCGGCCAAAGCATACGACCTGACTGGCATCGTCGATTGAGTCTCTCGAGGGAGCTTCGATCCCAGCGGTCTCGTCAAATATCAGACATCAGATCGGCTGCAAGCGATCCCGCAGATTTTACGTCACAGCCTGCCATCGGTTCTTTCTTCCGAGGGATAGCCGCGGCAACGAAGGCCAAGGAAGAAGAGAACCAGCAGACGGACGCTGACGGTGATGATGAGCTTGTCACAAATGATGAGGAAGAAGAGGAGGACATCGCAACAAACGCAGGCGAGAGTCGTCGGGGTCCGGTGATTCACCAGACTCAGATTGACGACTACTTCACTACAACGCCGATGTCGAAGCGTTTCAGCGCTGCTCCGCCTACATCGTCATCACTTGGTTCGAGCGGCCGGCCATCCATCGCCGCTACCCCTCGCTCAGCACGCCGCATACCTCACAGTCGAACAATGTCGACGAACACAATCCTATACGCCCCTCAGGAGTTGCGCCGACCGCCTAGCTCGTCTTCTCATTCGTCACCGGAGCCACCGCCCACTCGCGCGCGCGTGCAGACTAGTCGAGCTGCGGTGGTCGAGCCGGCAGCGACTAGCGGCCATCGCTCGCCGCGCCGGCAGACATACGTGACAACCAACACACGGCCCAGGCCTATACTGCCACCTAGGGACGCAACTCAGACTGCGCCCAACCGAGCAGCGCTCACGGGCATCGACCAGCGGCTCCGTCCGAACCAGATGAGACGACTATCCTCGGTTGACATGAGCATTTTGTCGGACAACATAGCACCTGACGACCCGACGGGAGGCATGCCGTCGAGCTTCCAAACTCAAATGGCGATGGCGTTGATGAAGGACGCGCGACTCAACGGAGCGGGACGCGGTCAAGATTCCGGTGATAGCAACCGTATGAGCAAGCTCGTGTTGGCACGGATGAAGACATTGGAAGAGAGCTTCGCCGACGTTGCCAGGGAGTTGCGCGGGCTTAAGACGAATTCGAACTCGACTGCCCCGACTACACGCCGCAACTCATCAGGTGAAGAACTTCAGAAGTTTTCTGGGTTGGCAAGTCCTGCTGGTGCGAGAAAGGAAGAAGGTGCTGAGAGACCCAAGATGGTCAGGAGAACCACTGGCAAGCGCCCTCCTAGTCGGAAGAGCATGCTGGAGCCAAAGGTGGGTTTGCTGAGCGCAAAAGCGAAGGGCAAGGAAGTCGCACACTCGTCTGGCGATGATTCCGATAGCGAGAGCATGGCGCCAGGGAAGAGGAGCTCAATGTAAAAGGGGAGACGCGTTTTGATTTGCTGGGCATTTTCTGGCGCGCTATACCTCAGTCACAGCTGGTAATTGTCGCATCGCTGGGGCGTTTGGAACCAGAGGTTTTCTCTGGAAGTTCGACCTGTTTTAAGTCAAGTCGCATATAAATCGCGAGCTGGTTGCGTGTTGCATTTGGACATGTAAATGGAGTAATGATGGTGTTTTAGTTTGCGCCAGGATCGATTCGAGGTCATTTTCCCTCCAGTCATCACAGTCTCCTGTATTGATACGTACGAAAATTCATTTTTGTCTTCCGTTGACTCTCGTTGCACTTCCCCTGGATTACTACTCCGAGTTACTACTCTGGACGTGTCCAAGTCACACAGAACTGTATTGCTGTGAGTGATAGTATCCCGTCCACCGCCACCAAAACAGGGCGTCGACACAAGAGCAAAGCCTTAGGCATCGCCAGCTCAGACGTGATGAATATGCGTGCCATCTCAGATTCCACCGCCGCTCCTGTCGACAGTTACGTAGTAGGGGGCAGTTGTTCGCTGGTTCAACTCATTTGTTCTTCTGGAGTTGGCTTGGTATCTGATGCCGACTATAGCGGTTGATACAGCCATGGCAGCGAGAAGCACGCCGCGGTGACGTCTGCATCGGTGTGTCAGTATGCTGTTCAGGGTGGCGGATATCGTACGGCAAGCGGAAGTTAGGGCAGGTGACGGGACAGTACACTTACACGCCAGGGCGAATCTGACTTGGTATGGCTGGCTTGGGATCCATGATGGCAGATATCAAGACGATATTGGTGATGGAGTTAGGGAAGTGACAACTTCAGCTCCCAGACGCAATGTAGGCGTATAGACCGGCCGCTTTCGATGTGTGAAGGCGTGGGAGGGGGGGCATTAAGTAGATCTCCACGTCCTCGGCACCTCAGCTTAGCTCCAGATCTTGGGGCCAAAGGTGGAGGGGCACTCGTTTTTGTTGGGGAAACGGAAGGGAGCTGTTTGCTGTCTTGGATCAGACGACTCGACTACATCATGACGATTACCTAATTTTTGGGGAACGCACGAAAAGTGCCATTACGGCCCCTGTACGACGCCTAGAACGAACCCAAATGAACGACTACTGTGGCCGGGGTTTGCTGGGTTTCTAGACGGCGGGTTCGGGGAGACGGCAGCGGGGGACGGCACACGACAATCATTTCGGGCTAGGAAAGATTGGGGTAGTTGTGAGAAGGCATGCGACGTGGCTTGAGGCTAGGCGATGGAGTATATGGCCATGCCACACAAACAGTTTGGGGCGAAAAGAGCCGTCTTCCTGACGAGCTATCAGTTCGACGGGAGATACTGGCTAAAAGATACGTGAGCTAACTGCGCGTGGTTTCTTATCGCAGAAAGACGGCATGAAGCTCATGCCGGACGGCGGCACTCGCGCGCTCAAGTCAAGGGCCAGTACGCCATGCGAAGAATGATAAGGCAAGTTTTAGAGTTGTACAGGGTTTCAGCCGACGCCTGGTCGAGGAGCCTGGGGAGCAAAAGACTATGCAGGGAAGCTGAGGTAGTGGAATAATGATGCAGAGCCATGATCAAAGATAACATCATGTAATGTACGCTGAGACTAACACGAAGGACCGTTGTGAGAATACGGAAGCTTTGTAGCTGGAGCCTTGCCCGAAGCCTCTGGTTTTAATGTCACTTTGGCTTCCCATCCGAACATGAATTCCGAGGCTCATTGTGTTCTTCTCACTTGGCGACGGGAGTGAAGGCCAAAGCGGAAAACGGGAGTACCTCGCGATGTACTGCGTGCGAAGGTAAGGGTAAGGTAGGTACCTAGGGTTGTAATTAGACTGTAGAGCCATCAGGAAGGCACTTCGGGCAGCTGGAGGTGCCTGTCTACCTTACCTGCTTAGGTACTTCATCTTAAAGTACCTATCTAGGTAGGAGGTGAAGCTTCCCCGCTATGGGTACCCAGGGCGGGAAGGCGGGGGCTACCTAGGTACCTTACTTAGTATGACTGCCGCTACCCCACTGTTGCATGGCTCGGAAGGTAAGGTAAGGTACCTAGGTAGGCAGGCGTGGCAGGCAGGCAGGCAAGGACGTGCAGGCAGCAGTGACATTCATTCCACGGTTCCTAACGTCAACAACGAACAAATGAGGGCGCGGTCCTACGTGCTGAATGTCTCTCCAACCTAAGGTGGATATGAGACCCAGGTACTTGACATGGGACTTTGGTACGATCACTTCACGACTCCAAAAGTGTAGCAAAATTGTACATTGGCTGAAACTGTCATTGATCAAGAAGGCCCGCACGAGACTTTCTTAAGATTCCTTCCTGGATACTACTGCGTAGTACGTTGCTCTTCTCATCTTCTTCCCAAACAAGAAGAGTGTGACTCTCGGCCACCAACGTATCGGCCTAAACGTGGCCGCTGCTCTTTTTGGGAGAACGAACCACACCGAATCAACTTCGGGTCTCACGCTGACACTGGAGTAGACGGGAGGAGGTACTCGAGGGTCCAAAGCAACATCCACCTCTACTTGAATTCCATGTCGAATACCGAGCTCCAGACAGGGTCACGGGTTGCCTAGCCTGCCTTTCCTTTCCATCTGCTTATGCCCTTTTTGTGTTCACCTCCTGCCCGAACAGCCACGACCCGAAAAAAAAAACAAAAGGTACCTTCTCCAAGTCGGTAGACTTGTGAGGCATGCTTCACCTCACTTCTACAACCCCTCCGCCGCATCTCCCCTTCACCATCTGGCTGCATTATCATCGTACTTTCTCATTGTTGGTGACTTGGCCGTTGGAAGCTAACAAGCTCCTTTCGGAAATCTACCCAAGTAGCTCCTTCGCGTTTGATCTCAACCTTTGCGACCCCATTGAAAGACTCCCGCCGCACGCCCCGGGTACAGGAGCCTTAGGTAGACTCACCTGCATCAAACATCTGACTCCTCGAGGCCTTGCTGCCTGGACAAGGCTGCGCAACCTCTCTACCACCCGGTGCGCCTCATTTACGACACCCAAGACGCCTCAAGTAATTGAACCTCTTTTCTTCTTCCTCTCTCGGATATTCTACTTCATCGATTGCGCATCACCATCCGTTTCGGGCCTCTGCAACAGACCTGCTGCATCCTCCGCGCTTGCTCACATCGGCATACTTCACCAGGCGCCCGCGTCCAACTACCTCGCAAATTCACGAGCATCTCTCCTGTCGCCTTCGACGTCGTCTTCAAAATGGACGATTGGGATAGAGGCATTCCTATGGAGCCACCGTCGGGTGACGATCTCCCTTCTTCTTGGGATCAATACGCTCCCGACCACGATAATGATAACCATGGCATCGCAAACAACACCGACGAGGTCAATATCTATGATTTCTTCGATACGAAAGATACCGTCGAGGACACCGACACTACGCACGACAACCTCCAGGACGACCTCGATAACGGGTCCGGATCACAGGAAGATGTTTACGCGCCGACTTCCCAGCCCGCTTTCACTCTGAAGGCCGACATGACGCATATCGAGCGCCGCCGCTATTCTCAGTTCCTTCTTCATGACATTCGAAACGAACTTTCAGACGGAGACACCCTAGTCTTTGTTGACTTCCCGGCCCCTACGAAGCCTGCCGATAATGTCGACTGCTTCGTCTATGCCTGGAACTCGGTGGAGTTTCGCATGCACTCTGAGAAGCTCAAGGCAACCGGATCATCCAAGTTTGCTGAAATGCTGAGTCCCACGCACCAATACCGCATTATGCGTCGGCGAAAGCTGGTCAATAAGCTCCCCGACGGTATCAAGTTCGTTCTCGATTTGACCCCACCATCTGAGGGTGACGATCTCGTATTCCAGATGACCGAAGTCTCCCTGACACCCGGCATCATAAACTGGTGGACGGCGTACGACAAGTACGGCACTGACGATTACGTTGTTTCTGGACACGATGATATATGTGGTTGCTGGAAGGATCCTCAGCCGGAAGACAGTGATAAGGCCACTGCAACGGCAAAGCCAGGTTCCACGCCCAACGGCATGGTCTCACGTCAGATCACAGAGAAGACAGATGTTGCAATGGAACGCGCGATCGAGACAGCAATCGCACAGAGCCTACGAGAGACTGGTCCACAGACTGCAAAGTCCTCGGAGAGGACATACACATCCACCAAAGGAGCCGCTGCTAGGTTGCTGGAGAAGAAGTCCAAGAAGGATCTAACACCTGAGCCGGTTCCTTCATGGCGTCGGATTCCTGACTACTGCGCTGTCCGCCACCGCGTGAACATCCTCCGCCTTATGTACATGATTTCCGACAAGCGAGTCCTTGTTGACTCTGCCCCTCGAGTTTGGACTTTGGTGGCTGTCGCGAAGATTCTGGATTGCACGCATGTCGTCGTAAGTCCATTCCTAAACATCGCCCCTGGGAGACTCTGCTAACAAAAAGCGTAGCGTGACCAGGTTCTTCAATGGCTCATGAGCGCTAACAATACCATGTTCATTGAAGTTCTTCCTGAAGAAAGCTTACAGATTGGTGTAGCCTTGCAGTCAGAGGATGTCACCCGTTCTGCATTCCGAATCCTGGTCAATGAGTTGGCCATCGAAGAAGCTGCTGCTCCCAATGGAGTGCCCAAGGCCGCCACTTACACAGTGTTTGGCCGCAGACGTCACGATCCCGGCGACGACCTCAATAACCTCATTCAGCATGCTGCTCGAGCCATGGTTGAGCGTGTCTCGCGGCCTGTAAAGCAATTGATGAGCGACAACATTTTCGATGACCTGCAAATACCGGAATGGATTCGCCTGAACGAGCTCATCGTCATGTTCTCGAGCCTTCCCGACGATCAGACCTGTCTAGCAGCCAAGGAGAAGGCCATTAAATTGGCCGAAGCCTTGAAGAAGGTTTGGAAAACCCAGGTGGTCATCGAAGTAATCGGCAAACTGCTGGACGCCGACCGGCTGAACAGAATTGACGATCATCGCGCGACTTACGTCGATATCCAGCACTTCAATCGTTTTGAATTGACGTA